TTTATAGTTTTAACTGATGTGAGTGCTAGAAGATCTAAGAACATTGATTTCACAACTCCTTTATTCTGAGGCACTCTTCATCATTAACCTAGCCAAGAGTTGAAAGTTAAACAAATTGGCATGGACAGGGCATGTGTCAGTATATTTGACTTAACTGGTGATCTGAGGTTAGTACGTTCTTTTATACGTGTTAATAATTTTCTTTTCATAGAACTAATGTAACCTTCTGACAGTAGGGAGAGGTAAATATATCAACAACAAAAGGTTGTAAAGATAGAATTTGGTCCTTGCACTTGAAAAAGCCTTCCCATTGGCACAGCAGTATGTCTGTAGACTTGTAATTCAAGAAACCCGGTTTCAATACTCTTGGTGAGCAGGGCACAAATAGCTCATTGTGTAGCTTTTGTTTTACTACAAACAAGTTTGAAAAAATAAATAAGGGGACAACTAGGCTGTAGCTGCAGTTATACCCTACGAATAAAATTTTTTAGCTATTTCCTAATAATCCAAGAGTATTTACCCATATATGGTAAACTAATAACCAAAGAATTTTTAGGTACATCATAATTACATGGTGTAGCAACATTTTGCTTATTTAAATAACATCTAAGTACTCTATCAATGAAATAACTTGGAAAATCATTTTTACACAATAATTCTTTAATATTTAAAAATTCCTCGTGAAAACCATCATATGTGTTAAATATCTAAGAATCCCAGTGAAAAAGTATTTTAACAAAATTTTCGTTAAAGATAGTATGAATAAAACTTGTACAGTTAAAATATAATCCTGTAAAAGTTTTCTTATGATAGACTTCACAATTAAAATGTCCATTATTACTGTTATTTATCAATGTGTCCAAAAATGGAAGCTTATGATCCTGTTGATTTTGTACTGCTGTCTCTACTGTTCAAGTATTCTAAATATCGAGAGACATGATCAAAGTTATTAAAAATAGTAAATGTGTTATCAACATACCTGTGATAGTAAAGGGGTTTCAATTCTTATGGGCAGTTATCCAGTCATTGTTTTTCATGGAAGCACAAAAAGTAGTTGTCAAAATAAGGGGCTAATCTTGAACCCTTGGTGACACCGTCAGTCTGTTTATACAACTTACCATTCAAAATGAGACTCTTTAACAATATAATTGATTAGTTTAAAAAAAACAGGTTAGGTACATTTTAAACATAATTGTTGCCTTAGTTCTTTTGATTAGTTTAAAAAAACAGGCGAGGTACATTTTAGTTCTGTTGCCTTAGTTCTGTTTTTCAAATTTAATGACCAGATTTCATCTTTACAATCTTCTTTTGTTTATAAATTTACTTGTCCTTACTGTCAGCAGGTTACATTAGTTCCATCAAAAGAAAATTATTAACACCTGTAAAAAAACGTGTTAACTCTCATATAGTTGTACATGTCCTAGGTGAATGTGATGTCCATTTTAATTTAAGATAGTATCCAAATAAAGGAGAATTTGATGATATTTAAACTGAGGCACAAGATCAGTGTTTTTAGTTCTATTAGCATTGGGGTGTTAATGTTTGTGTTTGAATTTCTTCATTTGGTTATAGACACTTAAGTGTACCAGTACTGTAACCCTGTGAAGTTTTATCTCTTTCAGCATGGGCTTGGTTCGTGGGACTGACCTTATAGCCGTATTGTGCTTGTTATAATTTTCATACTATAACTTTTAAATTAGTAAGTGTATGTTCACAAAATTTGGCAGATTATTTGTAAACATTGCAAGGTTTCTGTACGAAAAATATCAGATTTTTGTTATTAAGTTTTAAGGTTTTCTAAATAATGTTTTTCTTATGCCTTTTTTTCTATTTTTGCATGTTGCTTATCCAACATGCAGAGTAATTTTCATTTTAAAATTAAAAATACTTTTATGCATCAGAAAATTTTCAAATTT